GGGTCAGCTCTGCTGTGCTGACTGCACTCATCTCTAGCCCTTGGAAGCCAGAATGCCAAACATTTCCCATTAGCAAGGCTTGGGGCCTAGGAGTTCTCTGAAGAGCCTCATGGGGCTAAGACTTCATCCTCTCAGCTTGGTTCTCTAGATGGCATGCCAGAGTCACCTGGAGCCCATGAAGTTAGAGGAGCAAAGATGTGGTGGGCTAGCTATGGAGATTAGAATTACCATCCGTGGTGCTTTATTCCCCAAGGTGTTCTACTACAGGCTCCATCTGGGGAAACTATAATCACCTTGGGATACCCACAACATGCTCTGACATAAACCTGGGGGCTGTGGAGGAGGAAGCAGTCAGAGGTGAGGAAACCTGCTCAGGCCTGGATCACCTGGATCACCTGAAAGGTTTCCAGACTGGCCACATTCATTGTGTGAGAGGCCAGATCCTTTGTTTAAACTTGGAGAAGATCTTGCCAAATAAGATGAATTAAAAAAGCCCAGAGCCAGTTTGGTTTTGTTCTCTTATGAAGATTTGGTTTTGCTTCTGGCTCTTGTTATTATCATACTTCTGTCTTTAGTTCTTGCTTTCTCCCTTTGGTCCAGGCTCGGGAAGATGGCCTAACTGTCATTCAGCCTCACTCTTTATCCTTCGTGAACTCAGAGAGTCCCAGTGGAAAGATTATATACAATATCACCGTACCTCTGCATCCAAATCAAGGTAAGATGTGCAGTGAAGGTGTCTTTGAGTGACGCGCTTGCCTTGGGATTCTGGACCAGTCCTAAAAACTCTAGGCTTTGCTTGCTTCTTTCCCTAGTGATACTTGTGGAGGGTTTGTGAAGGAAATGATGTTCACACTCCACACTCATGTCATCTGCTTTAGAAGAGATAAATGTGATGCATGTTGGCTTGGGTTCTGACAGAGCTGACCTACAGACATAATGTCCCTTCCTAGTCACTTGCAGAACTTGACATACACGCACATTGCCTTAATGGGGCCCTAAAGAGGTTCAGATAGGCCAATGGACCAAAATGAACAAGTGCTTTGGACTAGAGGCTATGTTGAAATCCAAAGGTGGCTGTGCCACACATACTCAGTGCCGGTGGATTGATCCGTCTTCTCACAGGAATAAATAGAAATGTGTAACTATAGTCAGAGGCCAGATGGGGCCTGCCCTCAGTCCAGCCTCTAGTTATCTTAATACTGGGCTAAACTAACAAGCCTGTGCCCATGAGAGATCGTAGGAAGACCAGCTCCATAGAGGCATTTCTGCTCTTGCCTCCAAGCAGGAAGCCACTCTCTTTACCACATCCCCAAGAAGAAAAAAGAATGTAATAATGAAACTCCTTTGCCCTTTGATAAAAGCTAAGGAAATGAAAAGATGTTAAGTTGTATCTAGAGGATCTCCCATGGTGTGAGGGTGTGAGCTTTCAGGCCGGTTTAGGTTGCTTTCTGCAGAATGTACCCGTCTCAGATGAATTCAACACTGAGACCATGTGCCTCCCTCTAAAGACAAAATAAGACATGAGAGATGAGCACAACGGAAGTTCCATGCCTGCAAAGTTTCTGAATTGCAGCCGTGAAGGCATTGATCATAAACTGAGTGGTAGTTATAAGCCTAGGTCTGTCTTAGAATAGTCAAGAGCCATGCCTTTGTTGCTGGGCTCATCACAGAAATGGAGGGGTGTCTGAAATTAACAGGAAGTCTAGAAAAATATTTCTTTGGCACCTCATCAGAAGATCAGTTTGGGCCCCTGTCTTAAGGACCTCTTGAGCTTTTGTGTTGGAAGTTTCATAGTGACAGTAGTGTGCCATTCACTTATGGAAAAGTGTGTACACTGAACTACATTGGTGGTAGTGATTTCCACCTTACCGTGTGTAGTTTATGTTCCACTGAAGACTCTATTTGGGTTCTCTCTCTCTCTCTCTCTCTCTCTCTCTCTCTCTCTCTCTCATATGTGTGTGTGTGTGTGTGTGTATACATGTCTATACATATCCTTCTATGTATCTGTCATCTATCTGTGTGTACATACTATGTATATGTGCTCAGATGTGTGCAGATGTGCTTGCATCTTGTGTAGGTATCTTCCTCACTTGCTATCCACCTTATTAGTGGAGCAGTTTTTCCCAGTGAACCTGGAGATTACCTCAGCTGGCTGGCCAGCAAGCCCCAGGGATTCTTCCTGTCTGTCTCCCCAACACTGGGATTACTGATGTGTGCTATCATGCTCACCTATGGGTGCTGGGGGTTCAAAGTCAGGTTCCCATGCTTGCATTACAAGTGCTTTACTGGCTGAACCATCCCCTGGCTCCAGACTTGTCCGTTTCTTGAGTAACTTGACAGCAGAGCGCAAGACGAACAGCTCGGGAGCCAAGGCTCCTGAATGATAAAGACTCCCATTCATGGGCAAGGGGCATGTGGTGGGTCTGGCCGTCACGTCATCCAGAAGTTGCAGTCTATGCTCACGTCAGTCTCTTCCTCCCCAGGTATCATTGAGCACAGAGACCAGCCTCACTCTCCCATCCGGTATTTCACTCAGGAAGATATTAACCAGGGTAAAATCCTGTATCGCCCTCCCGCTGCAGCCCCCCACCTCCAGGAGATCATGGCCTACTCTTTTGTTGGTAATGCTTTTTTCTCTGCCTTGAGGCACCCAAGTCATCCTTAATCTTCATGGCTAGTTCTGCTTCTCTTCCCAAAAACTTGTGTATGGTTTGCTGACACTCTTTTCTCCTATTCAGAGTAACTTGGGGCCTATCAGCCTGTATGTGGCTTGGGCTCAGGTCTGTCTTCTTTTCATCACTAATTCATGTCATAGGCACACTTTCAGCCGACTTTTGTTTAGCGGCTCTGGTGTGTCCGTCACTGGTTGAGGGGTTGGAGATAGAGTGGGAAGCAAAAAGAGCCACTGAGCCTGCTGTTGGAGTGATTAGGGGCCATGTATAGGAGCTACGAGGGAAATAATCACAATAATGAGTATTTTGTTGCGGACCGAGCTGAGATGCTCTGGAAAAGGAGGAAGATTCAGTGGTAAACTTAAACACAAGGCTGATCTAGACTGAGGAGTTACGAGGTGGCTGTCCAGATAGCTACTGGCAAAGTAGTGGCTAAAATAGCCAACTGTGCATGTGGGGATGGATGCATAGAGAACATTCCTGGAGGAAGAGAGTATGCCTTCTATGAGACCTTGGGGAGAAGAAAATGTAACATTTTAGGGATTACAAAAGAAGCTGTGGTATTTTTGTGACACACAGGGTCTAGCAGAGCAGGCAGGGATGGGTCTGACTGGAGATTAAGGGCAGACTTTACACTCCACAGGAGCTTGAAAAGATTTGGGTGTTTAACCTAAGACCATGAGGAACCCAGTGGAAATTTAAAGCTACAGGGGATGGTTTTCATGAGGACTCTTTCACCACAGTGACAATGAGCGGACTTGAGAAGGACGCCAGGCTAGGAAACTGCGTCCACTGTGGACTGCAGTACCTCAGGGGAGAGTCCATGGAGGCATGGAGAGTGCAGTGATCTTCCAACTCGAGCTTCAGGATTTGACAGAAGACAGTTCAATAAGTTTTCTTTTAAAACACTGAGTAGAAAAACAAACTGATGAAATTTTTGTTCATTTATTAAAGCCAGCGCATACCCTTCCACTGCAGCAGGATAGCCTTGAGGCTGCCCGCCATCTCTCCCTCCCTTGACCCGGTAGTTAGCGCAGCTAGGAAGTAGGAGTTGTGATTCCCCACCCCCAAGGTCTGTGCCTTGGGGAGGTTGTAAAAATCTTGGTGTCCATTTATTATGATATTTAAAGTGTATATACCACACAACTTTATAGATATTACTTTTATATCATAAATTTATTCAAACAAAATAGCTGGTTATTTCTCTTAGGAAATTGAATATGGGTTAAATAATTATGGGGTTTCTTTTTGATTATGGTAAGTAAACATAAACTGATATTTGTCTTTATTTAGTGTAAGTTCAATTGTCCAGAAAATGATTAACTCCTCAATTACATTGAAAATCCCTAAGGGCAGGAAGAGGCCCATTCTCTGAGGAGCACTCTTGGTATTTAGTAACTGGTTAACTAATAGCCCATGAAAGTATTCCTGGTTCTCTAGCCCCTACTTTACAAGACCTACTTTACAGGAAACTTGGGCTATCCTGAGATTAGAGAAAAGGAAAACATGTCAGCTGTGGTTAAAGTAATTTCCAAGGCAACTACACTTGTCTTAGTTCCATGAGTCTCTTTGGAGAGAGTAGAGTCATGTCCTGTCAATCTATGGGATAAATGCCACAAGATAAATCTCTCTCAGTTACAGTGTGTAAATCAAGGTGCTAGACATCACTCAGTTCTACAGTGGAATCGACCACACACACACACACACATACACACACACACACACACACATACACATGCTGTCAGCGTCATATATCACCCACATTCACCAGTTTGTAGGATTTCATGTACTAATAAAATAGGGTCTGAATGAATGTATTATAAGTCACCCTAACTGCTGTGGCACCAAATTATTCCAGTATGAATGTCTTTTTTATATTTAAAATTAATGTGGGCATCATTAAACCCAACACTCCATGAGCAGAGGACCTCCTGATCGCTCCCTAAACCAGATCAATTTCGATTTAAACATCTTTTTCTCCCCTAATCGCCACTCTATGATTTGTGCCCGCCCTTCTCCCTCTGATCCCAGAATGTTTAGGACACTGATTTCCCTCTCTTGCTTTTTTAGGTCTCCCAGAATCAGTGAAATTTTACTTCACAGGTAAAGACTTTAATCTTGGTTTTATTAGAGACTGGAGTATATCCTTACCTTTCAATCTTTCCTTTATGTTTCCTAGAAATAATTTTATTGTTATTATTATAATAATAATAATAATGTTTCCAAATAATTATTATATGGTTAATTAACTAGCAATGACTTATTTTCATATTCACAGAAAAAAAAACCTACTAAGAATGCCCAAAGTTAATGTTATTTGAGCCCTAGTGGAATTTGTCTGTTTATTGAAAAGAAACAATAGTAGTTACAGTCTTAAAGTCGGGGTCTTGCAAGCTGGAGTTCAGCCTCTCTGGGAAGGATCCCTAATACCTCTGTACATGAATACTTCCTCCATCATGGGGATCATCATCATAATACATGTTCAGCTTCCAGGACAGTTGGTATGTGAGCATCCATGTGTTACACCCGGCTGATGTGTAGTAGTTATATGGAGTCTTGAAGAGCGCCATTTATTAAACGCCTTGCCTCTAGAGAGAAAAGCCTTTGGACCCAGAGCATGAGCTGAAAATGCTTCTAGAAGTTTCTGCATCCTAGTTTTGCTTCATACTGCAAGAGAGGCTGGGGCAGCACAGGGAAAGGCATTCTTGCTCAGGTTAGAATGAAGATGGTTAACTTTTAAACCAGCTGTTTAACTAGGATTCACCATTCTGTTGGAATCACTCATCCTTGGATCCTGTGATATTTCCTATGGGAAGAAATCTTGGTGGGACAGAGAAATCTTCCCTCAAACTGCCCTGCGGATCTTTTCTCTTTGAGGGGGAAAAACCATGCAGCTAATTTCAGTAAGGCGCCACAGTTGTATGAACTTACCAGCTCATCTCTAGTGCATGACCCTGCAGGTGATACATGCAGTCAGTACCCATGAGTGACTTTCTTTTTTCTTTTCCAAATCAATTTACAATAAATGTCATCTTAGGAGTTACCTAGTAGTGTTCTAACGATGGATGTTTCCAGCATTTTCAAGCTAAGGATTGTGCGGACCACATCTACCACTGGAAACAGTCAAAGCAGCATTTAATCCAAGTTCCTGACCTGCAGTGTGGGATAGTTTTGTGTTCTGAGGTATAAGTGGGTAGGTCACAAAAATCAAGAGAAGTAGCATGCCTCATCCTTTTAACCAGAAAGCTTGAGTAGGTGGAAGGTCAACCGTTAACTTGCCCAGGACCTGAAATTAAATGATCCTTGAGCTTTCATAAGGTTAAAAGAGGGCCTTGGGCTGGCCTTAAACTATCTTGTTTTCAGCCCAAGATTCATCTGTTTTTTGTTTTTTGTATGTGTGGGGCGGGGGGAGGTCGGGGGATGCAGGGGAAGTTCTGTTCTTGGAGAAATGCTTTTGGAATCTGGTAGGAAGGCAGCACCTCTTTGAAAGGAGTTTTATGACAGAATTTTGAACCGGGCAGATAATGAAGCAAAGCAGTGACCAGCCCAATCCCTGACATTAACCTACAGAAGGAGGGTGGATAGCTCCTTGTGATTCATCTGCTAAGAACAGAAAGAGAGTCAGTGCTCCTGACTTGGCTGGCTTTGTGATAAGCACAGGCCCTCTGCAGAGCAGTTCTGGGCAAGGAACACATATCAGGCAAATGGGGCCCGTAGGAAGCATTTAACCCAAATAAGCAGTGTGGCTGTTTCTCAGAGAAATCAGAAACACTCCTTAAGAGAGGGGAGATGTGCAATTCTTAATATTTTTATTGGCAGTTTTTGCATTTGCTTTTGAAACACTGAACCATGCGACATGATTTCTAATTATATAATATTCACTGGTAGATAGCTTTCTGCCCCTTAAGAGACAAGGATGTCTTTGGTCACAGTGAACAGCTGTGTGATTGGGCCAAAGCTCTTGCAGTGTTAGGCCTTTGCTGCCCACCACTATGTAGGGACGTTGAAATCTCCTGAGCTTTTTCTCTTTCAAAGTAAAACCAATGGAAGCAAACAACAAATATACAACTGTAGTTTCACAATTATGTCTTTTTTTTTTATGCACGGAGATTTCTATTGTACACTCTAGGGTCCTCAAGAGAGTCCTGAGTCCACTAAAATAACAGAAGAGTGTATGTTTGTCCACGAGCCTTCGAAGTTAAGAATCACCCAGTCTCTATCTTTGCTCCTCCAAAGAGGAGATTGAACATACACAAAGAAACAATGGCAATAATTTTGACCCTTTACTAAAATGTCCAGAGCCACAAAAGCTTCGTTTTCATGTGGACTTTATCTTCTGTCCTTCCAAGGGCCTGTTTCGGCCTTCTCTGTGATAGACATGAGCTATCTTGCAAAGTCTCAATCATTTAGATCTGCCTCAAGGACAAGCCAGACCTAGAGCAACCCTAGTGAAATCATTATCCCTGAGCCACGCTTTACATTAAGAGGTCAGATTCCCGCCAATGGGCTGCCAAGTCCAGAAGAAAGGAAAAGAAACTGGTTTTCTGTAACCACACTATCTGCAAGTAAAGAGTCATTCAAAATAATCAACAGTGCCCTTTTCTCAGTAGCCATGGTAGATACACACAGATGTTACCAGTATCCACCACACCTGGGTTTAGGGAGGGGAGGGAGGAGTTACAGAAGAAACAGAAATGTGAATCAAGAGAAAGACTATTCTGCTTTCATTTCCCATAGAAGATGGGAATCCTCTTGGATGGAGCAAGCCAGCCGGGGAAACAAAGTATAAGGTCACTGCTTTGCAGTGGTGTCTTCTACTTATGCCGTGTGCACAGCGACAGGGTAAAACTGGATCTGCTTGCTTGCATACAATTGCTGTGAAAGTCATGGGCAAATGTTCTGTCCTTCCAAAGAAACACAATGAAGCAGAGTCATTCCTAAAAAAAAAAGAGTTCTTAAAGTATTTGTTCTGGAATGCTAGAGGAATGAATTAATTCAAAGAACTTTTCCATAAATAAAGATCTTTGCTGGTACCACTTGAGCACAAATATTTTTAACCCTAGCGCTTGGGAGGTTGAGACTAGGCGTTCAAGGTCACACCTGGCTATGGAGTGAGTTGGGAGCCAGGATGAGCTATATGAGATCCTGCAGGGGGCTTTTTGTTGTTTGGTTTTAAAGTGCTTATTTTACATTACTTCCCACTAACGAGCCTCAAAATCACCTTGTGAGAATACCTTTTAAAAGAACTTTGTAAAAAATTTTTTTTAATTTATAAATAAATATATATTCATAATTTTTTAAAAAAATAAAAAAATAGCTTTGCCTTTGTGAACTCTCATCCTTTGTCTTATCCATAGAAAAATGCTTTAGTAGAGTTGCTCATCATTGTTACTTTTTTCTATTTTTAAGCATCTCAACAAATTGCGAAATATTTGTGAAAATAGGGTAAAGGTGACCAGACTATAATTTGATTTATGTTTGCACATGTATGCTTAATCATGTGAGTGTGTGGGTGTGTCTTTCCTCTTGCCAGTTTCTGATGGACAGCACATGAGTCCAGAGATGGCCCTCACCATTCATTTACTTCACTCTGATCGGCAACCACCAGCATTTCAGGTCAGGGCTCCCCTGTTGGAGGTTAGACCCGGAGGCCGCACCTCTCTAGGTAAGAACTGGGGGCCTGAGAGAAGTGTAGCTCTGGAAATTGGACTGTATTGCAGCAGTAGCGGTCCTATGGAAACTTCTTGATGGCTGCCGAAATGCATTGACCCCCTCCCTCTTCCGGAAGGGTGAAGGGTGTCCACTCCCACCTACATCCATCCTCCTGCCCATTCTTATGCAAATCGAAGCAGTACTGAGAGCAGGAAAGGAGGAAACGGACCCTTCAGAGGCCAGCCTTGTGATGGAATGCTGCGCAGAATTTATTTCCCAGCCTCCTGGAGTTTGATTTGTTATCCTTGCTACAGTATCAAGAAAAACAGAGCTGAGAAGGGAGTCGAGGGAGCAGGTTTCAGTGATGGTGTCTGGTTTCTGTTTAGAAAGTGATAGGGGACAAAAGCGACAGGTCACAGTGACCTTCAGAAGCTGTGAGGAGCTAGCTGCAGCTGCCCATCCTGTGCATGATTTTTTTTATTTATTTCTAAGTGCACTTATTCTTTCCAGTTTGTTTATTCCTTTTGCAAGGGCATCTTATTAGTGACTTTTATTGTGTGCACCCTGTGGATCCATATGTGTTTTCTACATGTGGCTTTTGTCCTGAAGTAATTATTTAATTTCTATAATTTGACCAAAAATTATTTGTAAGCAGTCTTATGAACGAGTTATATAGACAACAGTGAAAACAATTTTTTATTCTATCTGTTGCTTTCTTGATGGCTGGAGCAGCCATCATGAAACCTGACTCCTTCAGTAGATTTATGAAAAAGAGAGACTATGAAAAGCAAGACCAGTTCGTGGGGTGTTTCTGAAAGACACTAGTTAGGACAGACCTACTGATGGCCTTTGGTGCTTGTCCTCGTTTGTATGGGAGAAAAGAAATTCTGAACCCTGAGCTACCTACTCGCAAGGGAACTTTTGAAAGAACCTTCTTGTAACTGGCGGATTGACGGTGTTCGTTATCATTTAATTTGCACTCACCGTAATTATGCCGTGCTTTATGATTATGGATTACTCACCAATGGATCTGCAGCCTGGCCTGTGGTTTCAGTCTACAGGGAGCATGCAGTTGTCTCTCTAGCCAGCCTCTCTTCCTTCCTGCAGGCCTGCAGTTGGTAGTGAGAGATGCTCAGACGGTGCCAGAAGAGCTCTTCTTCCAGCTTCAGAAACCTCCGCAGCATGGCTCTCTGCTGAAGTCCACAGCAGAGTCCTCGGAGCCCATGGCCGCAGGTAGCATTTTATTAGTGATTTTTATTACGTGCACTCTGTGGATCCATACGTGTTTCTACTTGTGGCTGCATCCTCTCTACCTGGCCTGCTTGGGGATTTTTTTTTTTAACATCTACAATTAGTTTTATGTGACTTGGAAAAGAGGTAAAATGCCTGTGGGGGATAAGATAGGAGGAAAGACATTCTTGACCCAGACATCAGAATTCTTCATCTGCTGCAAGTCCTCCACCCCCCATCAGCCCCAGCCCATTCTAAAATCCGTGAAGCTCTTTCCTCAGCCTGCAGGTGAGATTGGCTGGTGAGCTTCCACGTCACGTGGCTTTTTCATAGCGGTTAATATGGTCTCTTAATTCCTATGTGAATCTTTATAATGTATGTCTAAGACTCTGGTAGTTTTTAGCTCTGTGTTTCTTCATCCATTAACAAAGAGGATAACTTTAAAATGTTATCTAAACTGTATAACAGTGTAGTCACTTTTTTTAAAATGGTATTTATTGTGCTTTCTTGAGTTATAAATATTGCATATTGGGTCTAAACAGTTGACTCAGCAGATAAGAGCCCTTATTGCTCTTTCAGAGCACCCAGGTTCAGTTCCCAGCACCCACACGGTGGTTCACAGCTGCCTGTAACTCCAGTTCCAGAAGATCCAATGCCCTCTTGTGACATTCCAAGGCACCAGGCACACACATGGTGCACATCCATGTGTGCAGGCAAGACACTCATACCCCTAAAGGAAATCTAAAAATCATTTTAAATACATATTGATCGCATAGGGAGTATAAAAAAGCCCCAAAACAATCAAAATCTGGATGTTTTATATAAATATATATCAAAATGAATATTGTCTCTTCTAAGTGGTTATCCGTGAATGCTGTATCTCACTTCCATAATCTGTAACTTTCTCAAATCCTTGAGACGGCTGCTTTTAGAGATGTGATAATGCATTCTTCTGAATTTCCCTGGTGGGGTAAATCTTTACCCTTAAATGTGGATTAAATTTTTAAAGAGCAGCTAATAGTGCCCGACGGTACTGGTGCCCGCCTTTAATCCCAGCCCTCTGAAGGCAGATCTCTGTGAGTTCAAGGCCAGCCTGGTCTACAGAGCGAGATCTAGGACAGGCACCAAAACTACACAGACAAACCCTGTCTCGAAAAACAAAACAAACAAACAAAAAAAGAACAACTAATAGGCACTTGGGAGCAACAAAGGCAATTTTTTAGGGTTGTGAAAACGGAAGCCTTATGGGGGCAGGAGCGTGAAGCAGCCATTATCCCGTTTCCTCAAGGTTGCCTTTAACCAGCACTTCGTTGTCCCGCCCCCTAGTGTTGACCTTGACCCACACTTGTGTTTCATAGATGGCATCTGAAGGCCTTTGTAAAGAGTTGATACCTGTTTGTAGGTGCAGCGCCTACCAACGTTAGTGACGTCATGCACTTAGGGCGTAGAAGGGAAATACGGAGAACAAGCAAATTCCTCAGTCTCAGCAAGGAATCTCCAAAAGATGTAACTAGGAAGAACACCCCCAAGACTATTTCCTCATCTGAGTTCTGTGGAATAATGACGGCCCATGACTAAAGGCATGCTTTATTAAAAAAAAAAAAAAAAAAGGTTTCATGGCCCCAAAACATTGAACTTTAATATTTGTGGATTAAATTTTCCAAAATTCTAATTTAACTCCATTTTCTACAAACCTTATCTATGATGATGATATGTTATAGATTAGTACCCTGAGCTATGCAATTTGCACTTTTAACATCCAGGAACAACTCCCGTCCTACACTGTTCAAAATGAGGGTCTTGCACATGCTAAGCAAGTGCCCAGTCACTGAGCATTCAATTGTATTTTCACATTTTTTATTAAAAAAAACAACCTTAAATACCCAAATTAAAATAATGCCTTTGATGGAGCACAGTGTACTGTCTCTTTTCTTAAGTCTTCAAGAAATGTTCAGTACCATGATTAGATTCAGAGGAACAGTCAAGAAGAATATAAGCCTATTCTTTGTTTTTCTAGAACTGGGAGTGATGACTATTCTCCCAGAGTCCAATTTTAGCTCACTGTGATTTGGAGCCTTAAAAAACAACATCCACCAAGGCTGTCACCCCGAGGAATTAGCTGCCTTGTTAAATAGCCCTCACCTTGAGGAGTGAGGAGGACAGGCTAACCCACCCTTTCTCCAGGGAATCCTAAGTTGGGTGAGTGGTTGAACTAATTAGCTTCCCAGTCCCAGACTTCATGATTCTACGTGCGCTTTGAAATCGGGAGAACAGAGGTGTTGTATAAATGAGAAGTGTTATTCCCAGAAGTCACCGGCTTTACAGTTTGGGGTTGTTTTATTCTTGGAAGGTGACACTTTCACATATGACGAAGTTGAAAGAAATGCTCTGCAGTATGTACATGACGGCTCCTCTGCCTGGGAGGACAGCATGGAGATCTCAGTCACAGATGGCCTGACCGTGACAACATCAGAAGTAAAAGTGGAGGTGTCCCCGTCAGAGAACCGAGGGCCTCGGCTGGCCCCTGGTTCCTCCCTGAGCATGACTGTTGCTAGTCAACGGACGGCCGTAATCACCAGGTCAAACCTTGCCTATGTGGTGAGTTCTGACATTGACTCTCTTGCTCTCTGCACTTCTGGCTGAGCCCCCTAGGGAACTTCACCATGGCTGGGCACTTGGGATAGCAGGTCTAAACAGTGTAAAGGCTCTTTTCTTAGCATCGCTGCTATTCTCTTTGGAGTCATCCTGCACACCCTGGCCTCGCCCGGTGTCTCAGCGGTAGACAGGTGAATGCATATCTCTGAGGAGGGCTCAGGAGGTGGCTCAGGGGCTAAAGCACTTGCTGTGTGAGTATGAAGACCGGAGCTCAGATCTGCAGGATCCGTGTAAGAGCCATGTGGACACGGTAGCCAGCCTGGGATCTCACCGCTCAGGAGGGAGAAACGCTCCTAGATTCGCTAGCTAGATTAGCTGAGTCAGCTTGGTCTAGCAAGAGACCTTGCATCAGGTGATCAAGAAGGACACCAGGCATCATAGCTGGCCTCCACAGACTTATGTACACACATGGGAACATACATACACGTACATCTACACACACACACACACAAAATGAAGAAAAAATACGATGAAAATACTGGGACCCCCCAAGGGCTTGTGATTGTCAAAATGCAACAGTTCCCTTGTCATAAAAGCTCCAGGTCCATTGTTTTTGAGTGGAGAGTGCAAGAGGTCTACTGGGAATTTGGGGAAAAGAACAGTTGAGAATGTGCCTGGTCAGCCATGAAGAGTTAGTGGCTGATCCTGGCCACTTCCTGAGAGAAGGCTGACTTTCCCCAGCTTTGCTCTTACCCAGTCTACACAGAATATGAGCCCCACCCCCTCGGTGGTGCCTCTCTGTAGTTTTCCTAGGCCAGGCCACTGGCTTGCTGGCCATGCCCTACCCTAAGAGAAGGAGAGTAGTTGAGAAGAAGGGGGAGAACCAGAGAAGGGGGAATTTCCCCTGTGTCTGGCTCAAACTTGATTAAGTGATCTTGGTAATTAAACTCGTCTGCCTTCTTTGATTCTGCATCTGGGGCAAAGGATAATGAGGATAATTAATTTTATTTTGCAGTTATATATGTTGTAAAGAGATGACTACTGTCTATATAAACATAATGATGATTAGTTGTTATGCTTTGAAAGGAAGGATAATTATTTGAATAGTAATCATTCTTAGTATTGAATTTTTCCTTCACTGGCGTCAAAATTACAGTGAACAGCTTGTCCCTACCCTTCATTCGTGAACACTGTGTGGTTTAGGTTATCCTTTTCGCTGGGCAGTGGTGGTGCACGCCTTTAATCCCAGCACCTGAGAGGCAGAGGCAGACAGGTCTCTGTGAGTTCAAGGCCAGTCTGGTCTACAAAACAAGTTCCACGACAGACAGAGCTGCACAGAGAAAATCTATCTCAAAAAACAAAACAACAACAAAAAAGTTATCCTTTTCTGGGCTGAAAAATATCACTGTAAAGTCCAATTCCAATGGTGGGCATTAGATAAAGTGCAACAGATTGTTTTCTCCTTTAAATTGTCTTTTCTTAAACGATAAGAAACGGAATACCACTTGATTCCTCTCGTGGGTGCACTACAGTTTCCCCAAAGTTCCGATGGTGTTTAATTGGCAGATCATTTTTTATCATATGTTATGGTCCTTTGATCCTGTGAAAGTCATACATTTGTGAAAATGTATGAATTCAGATTTAATCAATAGATCGCCAGGCTTGAAAAATGTTTGACAGACCGAAATAGCTCTCCAGGAACAGCGCCTGCCCATTAACCACACATTACAAGCTGCACATCAAAATGTGAGCTCGTTGGCAACTTGAACATTTTCAAAAATTGATTGAATGTGAATTTACCCACCAGAGCAGAAAGATTTCGGGGAACTCTTCCAGCCTGCTGGAAGTACAGCATGGCATGCGTTCTTAAAGACACAAGCAGAATACTTGCAGCTGTTCTCTGAGTTGTACAGTATGGAAATTTTTTTCCTGAAATACTGAAGATTTCCGTAATAGAAAAGCCATTCAAAATGGCGGTCATAAGTAGACGGAGCACAGAGGTAGCCGCAGCCGGCCTCTTCGTCATTAGAGCGTGGGTACCAGGAGCAAGATGAGAGGGTGGTGGGGACTGGAGCGTGGGCACCAGGAGGGTGCTGGGATCTACCACAGCAAAAGTTGGACCATGCATGGTTCCTCTCTAAGGCTACTCATTTTTCAATCTTAGACAGGGCCTCAAACTAGGCATATAACCAAAATGAGCTTGAGCATCTGGTCATTTCTTGCTTCTACTTCCCAAGTGCTGGGATTACAGTTGTGCACTGCCACACTTTCTGTATGCCACACGGCTGTATGTAGTGCTGG